GAAGGGAAGGGAAGGGAAGGGAAGGGAAGGGAAGGGAAGGGAAGGGAAGGGAAGGGAAGGGAAGGGAAGGGAAGGGAAGGGAAGGGAAGGGAAGGGAAGGGAAGGGAAGGGGAAGGGAGAAATGGTCTCCATACTTTTTTTATTTCACAGGCTTCCTCCCTTATCATGCACTTTTGTTGTCCCACCTCCAAGAGGACATTTCTGCTCCAGAATGTGGTTGTTCTTGGAGCAGTGGAGGGGTCACTGGGCCTCACTGGGGGGTCACTGGGGCTGTGCCCTTTGCCTCTGAGGAGGGCAGAGCTGCTGAGGTCCAGATTCTTCCTGATGATTCCATGCAAGAGCTAATTAGTGGCCTGCCCATGTTTCCATGGCAACTCCCTGTTGTGCTCTTAGCCCTGATCCAAATGGACACTCTGTACACTTGTGCAGCCATAGCATCAGCATGTTAATAAGACTTGCTGACGTCTTTTGCTTTCTGCCACACCGGCTGGTAAGTCTAAATTTGAATAATTTAAAAAGAACACATTTCTTGGTAAGCTCCCACTGCATCCCCTCATGTGACTTGAAGCAATTGATCCCAGAATTCTTCTGCCTTCGAAGGGAAGAAGCAGGTAGGTTCTGCCCTTTTTGCCATGCTTTGGCTTTGGGACACCTGGCATCTGGTTTTCCTGGTTTTCTCTGGGTTATTTGGAAGCTCCAGCTTTCATGCAGTCCCTGATTTAATGACAAGAAGGGACAAGTATCTGCCCTGATTTGGTAGGACCATCTCTGCATTAGCTTATCTTGACAATCTGATAGATTGCTCCCTAACTCTTTCTTCTACAGAGGAAGCTGGATTTCATTCTCGTGCGGTCAGAAAATAGTTACTGCTGTTTGAGAGTATGAATATCCCTTTTGTAATTAAACTACAACAATACCTACTGATCATGCAGGATAGTGAATGTAGTGTTACATGTGAAAGGATTCTCTGGGTCCCACCTAATTCTCCTCTATTAGTTACCCTCCATTCTAATAATTGTCTTGAGAACCACCTTTTTCTGACCAAGTGGAGTGGCCCTGGGCATAATTTGCTCAGAAGCCCATTGACACCGTTAACAGCACTGGTGTGGCCTCTCCAGGGGCACCTGAACTGCTTTCTCTTGTTAAGACAGAAGTATCCCAGATGCTTCCACATCTCTTACTACCTGCAGAACAAATTCCCTAAAATCTGTGGGATCTGGTTCTGGATCTGGCTGCCACAGCCTGTCCCCTTACCTGGGAAAAGCTTATGGGACTGGGCAGTGAAAGAAGAGCATGTGCCCTGTTTAATTTATTTCCTGGCATCAAAAGCATCGTCCAGGCCATGTTTGATTGAGTTGTTTGGTTTTGGTTTTCCTTTTTCTCACTCACATAAACTTTGAGCCCAAAATGGTGGTCGAGCCGCCAAACAGCTGCATTTCACCCTGCACTGAAGGACATGGGAATTTATTCCTGACATTTTGGTTTCATTCCTTCACAAAATTTCATCTGGCCGTGTTGGGACATGGCTCTACATTGCTGTGCTGATGTGCCATCATACCCAGGTGCCATATTGCACCACCAGGTACTCCCAAGGCGAGTTCCACGTGCTGACAGCATTTCTGTGCCAAACTTCCTTCTGTCTCCTTGCACTGGTTTTCCACACTCCATGGGAACTTCATGATGGGAATGTTGGCTCATGTTAGTGCCTCTCTAACCCCACACTGTCCACTGACTGGGACAGCAAGGATTTAATGTTGGGTTGGCACCCAGTGTCTCGCTGAAGATTTATGGAATTACCCCTCATTAATTCTGAGGGCTGCTCCTCCCAAGGCACCATTAAAGATACATGAGGGCAATTGATTTGATCCCTAACAGTGCCACAAATACCAGGCAAGATTTAGGTAATGTGTTCCTAGTTACCCACGAGATCTGAGATTTAATTGCAGCTTCTTTGGCTTTGAGTCACTGGAGCTGGGTTCTTATCTCAAAGGAAGGAAATTTATCGAATTAATTTCACTTTGTGTTGGCACGGCCACTATTCCCAGCCATGAGCAAATCCCATCATTGCATGCAGGCTGCAGCTCAGGCTGGAGGTTGTTCATAAGCAGTATTCAGTATTTTTAGAGCAATAACCATAGTTCTTTTCAGTGTCAGCTCTTTGGGTCATACATGTAATTTAAACAGCACATTTCTATTCCCTGCTTAGATGGATGTAACTGTCAGGAACATTATTTCTACTCATAATTACAAATTTGACATTCATTTCCCATGAATACTCTCTACTATTTGCTTAAAACTACCCTCCATGCATATTACTGCTGGTGAATTTTCTCTTATCAGAAAGCTGAGGCAGAAATGGCACATCTATAAAGAACCCTCTTTGAATGGTGGAGGTCTGTAATATAAACCTCTTCTACACAAAGCAAAGACCAATCAAAAGGAAAAACAAACACTGGGAAAAGTAGGAAACCTTGTGACCTCATGTGTGGACTGACCAGGAGAGAGATGAAGAGATCTGGATGCAAGTTAAGGAAAACAAAGTTACTACTAAAGGAAATCAGTGGATGTCCCTAGAAATTGTTCTTTAATTCACCCAACTCTTCTGATGCACAAATTCCCCCACCTTTGGGCAGGCAGACAGGGACTGATGTGTGCTTTTGTGACTAGGACTTCTTTTGGGGTTTTTCCTGCCCAAATAGCTTCTCTTCTGCCCTCAATAACTACCCAGATTGCTTTTCTTCTGCCCTCAGTTGGTAGCTCAGCAGGAGAGTTCAGTGAATGTCTATTTTCCTTAAGGTGTCCAATTCCTTTGCAGGAAATTTGGATTAGCATCAACCAAAATCACAGGAATTAAAGTAAACTTGAAACCAAACTTAATTGCCCAAGTCCCTGGTGTCACAGGAGTAACACCACAATGCATTTAGGTCTTCCCAGAAGAACTGATGTTGTTCTCAGAATCTGAGCCAAAGCCTCCAAGTAAGGTTGACATTTCTACAAAGCTATTTTGGGCTCAATCGTATCAACATGTTAAATCTTGAGCCAAATCTGAATTTTGTCTGACTGGTCTATCCCTCCTGCTCAGGCCTGTTTTGCTTTGGGATACACCTCCAAGTCTCAAAGAGTCGGGATCAGAGATTTATTTCTCCCTTCTCAGAGGGCAGAAATTCCAGTGTCCCACTAGCACTTCTCACAATCAACTTAAACTAAAAAAACCAGTGAAATTAAGAGAAACACCTCCCTACTCACCTCCCACAGTGTTCAGGCTTCATCACCCAGCTCAGCTGATCCTGCATTCACACGCTCCATTCAACATATTATATTTTTAAAATCCAAACACACGGGCACACACATTCCAAAAAATGTTACCCACCTTTTAGTTATTTTAGTTATTTTTTTGATAACTCAATCCTTTTTAATTTGGCTTTATCCTTGCAAACTCAGGGTAGATTTGATTGTTGTGCTCTTCCCTCCCACCCCTCCCTTTTACTACTTTTGCATATATTTTAATAAAATGTTCTTGTATATTTTCTGTATTTTCTTTTTTTTTTTTTTTTTGTGGACAGAGAAAGTGTAAGTGAGACAAGGATAGTATTCACAGCCACAGAAACATAAGAAAGCAAAAGGGATTTTTCCTTCCCCAAAGAACAAAAATGACCTATGTACCCTTCAGTGTCTCCAGGTTTCCTTGGAAATGGATTCTCTTGCATTGTGCTTTGGTTTTGGTGGTGATGAGGGTTTCCCAGCGCTACTGGAAAGCCCAGAACCTGAGGCAGAAAGCCAAACTCAGGTTTGCCTTTAAGTCCAGGTTTATCAAAGTGGCGTTATGATTTTGGCTTTCTCTGCTTTAGGAACGCTGTTGAAGTACCTGAAAGATGAGTGACTGAAGATTTACAGGTGCTGCTCCTCCAGCTCTGGCACCGCTGAAGGCACCAGCAGCCTCATGCAGGGCAGGAACTCCAGGTCGGCAAAACATCCGAGGGGACCCAACATGCCCCATTTTGAGTGTTGAGACTCTACCTCTGGTGAAAAGTGTTCCAAGATGGAAATCCCACAGTGAACACTCCTGAGACCTGCACCCACCCTCCACCTCTTATGTGTTTTCTCCCCAAGGAGGCATCAGTTTTACTCTCAAAGAACTGCCATCCCCACCTGTCCTCCAGCAGAGCTCAGCACAGGCTGCGGGAATAACTCAAGGTAAAGCTGGTGTAAATCTCAACAGAAGAAATCTCTTTTATCTTTAACCATTTACTCCCACTATAGGAATAATGGCAGCTCTTTTACATTTACATATAACTCTTGTTTGTTTGTTTGCTTTGATTTTGTTTTTGTTCTGTTGTTTTTTTTTTTTCTATATGTCTCTTTGTCTTGGCACCTGCATAGCAGAAAACTTTACAGTTCATTACAGAAGTTTGCCCCTCTCTCTGCTGCTCCCTTTATTTACTCTGCTGCCCCTGAGGACTAGCAAGCAACACCCCCAAGGTCAAGAGAGAGTAAGGTGTTACCCTTTTATGACGGATTATAGAAATAACAAACATGCCTGACAATTTTATACAGCTGCTAGAACGGGTTTAGTTTTCAACAAATGAAGAATTTCCTCTTTTTTTTTTCCTCTTTTGTATATTAATTACATTTTACAAACCTCGTTTTTCCCCCCTTCTCTTTATACTTTCCCCCCGCCTCTCGTTCTTGCTTTTTTAGGTGTTTTTTTTTCCTCTTTTTTCTCTTTTTGCTCTTTTATTTTTTTTTTTTTAATTTTTTTATACAGCAAAAGGATCGATTCACCAACATGTGTCCAACATGGATTAAGTCCGGGTTAGCAGAGTTTGGCCGTCATCTGGTCCGACTGTTTGAGGATCTCGGTGTTGTACAGGTCCAGGGCGTGGTTCACGCGGATGATCTCGCTGTTGGTGAGCTTCAGGCGGTGCTTGAGCATACAAGAGAACAGATCCAGCTGGGGCTTCCCTGGGGCCACGGGAGGCGCCAGTCTGTTGATTCGGTCCCGAATATCCAGCAGCAAGAGCATGACGGAGGAGGAGGAGTAGAACTGCCCGCCCTGCGTGTAGGACTGGTTGACCTGCTGCACCGCGCTGCGCAGCAGGTCGGCGTTGAAGCGCAGGCTGTAGCCATAGACCTGCACGTCCGAGATCTTGATGTAGAACTGGCGCTTGGTGGGGTCAGAGAGGTCCACGGGCCCTTGGCCAGTCTCGTTCCGCAGCAGGGAGGGCAGCCGAGTCCGGCTGCGCAGGTAGATGTGCACGGTCTCAAAAAAGGTTTTCCACCGGTTGCCCAGCAGCAGGGTCCAGTTGTAGCACTGGCTGTTTTGGAGGCGGATTTTCTCCCAGCGGGGGTAGCCGTACTCCCCGAAGGGCATGTTCCAGCCCTCCGAGTGGCTCCCGCTGAAGGGGTTGACGTAGACGAAGAACATGGGGTCCAGGCTGCTGTTGCGCATCTGGCAGATGCGCATGGAGATCCCGATCACCATGTGGATGAAGTCCATCCGGTTCTTGTTGCTCTTCAGGGTGAGGGACATGCGCTTGCGCCACCTGGGGTCGAAGAAGGTGTCCAGGCGGATCTCGTTGCTGATGAAGGTGGTGTGCACGTACAGGCGGGAGTCCATCTTCTGCAGCAGGTACTTCAGCTCCAGGTCCTGGAAGTCCAGGTCTGTCTCGAAGCTGATGAACTGCTCGCTGCGCTCCGAGTCCACGTTCTGAGGCTCGCAGCGACCCCGGTAAAGCTTATAGCCCTTGTTACACGAGCCACAGAGGGAGATGTTGGCGAGGCTGCACATGGCACAGCTGTTGTTGCCCCCAATGATGCAGGGGATGGGGCGCTGGCACAGGCTGGTGCCACCGTGGCAAACGCAGCTCCGCTGGCTTTCCAGGAAGGTTCCCCAGAACCCGTTCTCGTTGCAGTAGAGCAGGGACTGGACCCGGGTGAGCCACTCCTGTATCGTCCTGCAGGTGGGGAGAAGAAATCATTAGCACTGGAGGGCTTCACGGAGTCCTGGGTGTTGGCATCTCACCAGAGCTACAGTGTTTTCTGGGATATATCTGAGGCAGAGCTCTCAGAACATCGATGCCCTGCTGTGGCATCTGGGAGCTATTCCAGTCTATTTCTAGACTGAATCTTTCATCTGCTGTTTACTCCTTTGGTGAAGAGCAAAAGCCTTCTAAGAAATATCTGAGCAGTTCAAACTGATCATCTGATTTCTCTCTCCTCACACTGCTCTAGGAGCTGAGACTGGCACAGTCTCCTGCCAAGGATCCCATCAGCACCACAGTGACAAAGTTCAGCCGTGGGAATGGAGCTGATAAAGCCATGCCAGAGGCTGAGGTGCTATCAGATATCACAGGGCAGCAGAACTCCCAGGCTAGCAGGAGAAAACTCCTCTCCATGTCATTGGCAAATAGCCCCACTCTCCAAAACCAGACCCGTAATGGGATAAGGGGAAGCCAATAATAACCTGTGCTTGTGGTGCAGAGCTCATAACAGCAGAAAGCAGGGTGGGAGTCAGGATTCATTGAGACAAAGCTGCTAAAATAGTTTCTCCTTAAAAAAAAACCCCAAACTCTGCTGCTAATAAACACCTCTTGCAGCCTCTCCCCTTAAAAGCAGCCCCACTTGCCCATCCCTGAGCCCCACCACTCCCACACTTGCTGTATCAGCGCTGTCACCTCCACATCCTGCAGCCCTTGAATGACTCCTAATGAGTGACACTGCAGCCCATGTTCACTTTTGGTGTAACCCACTTGCCACGTTGCTTTTTTTGCCCCCCTCTTCCCCCTTCCCAGCGCCCCAGGAGAGCTCAGCACAGCGACTCCTTTCTCAGCAGCCTCAGCAGATCGGTCTGTGCAGCCGCTGCTCCCTCCCTCCGCCTTCCCCCCCTGGCTAATGAATACTTCATTGTCTCCCGTGGGCAGAAAGTTCCTGGGAGTGCTGCAGTGAGAGGACTGGCTAATGACAAATTAGGATTCAGCCCCTGTAGAACGGGAGGAGTGATTATGGACAGAGGCTCTCAGAGCTGGATTAGTGAAATTCATGGCACCTGCATCGCCTGACCTCCGAATAATCATTAAGCTGTGGGCTGTATCAAAGAAGGCATTAAATGATACAGCAGCAAAGAACAGCAAGATGATTAGGGAGAGGGAGAGAGGGGAGGGATGAGAGTGTAAAACAGAGGAAAGCACTGGAAGGAAAGAAATAGCCAAGGAGCAGAAGTGGAAAGGGTGGGGGAAGAAAAATGGGAAAATGTGCAGGTAAAAGGAAAAACGAGAGAAATGCAGGGGCAATAGGGATGGAGAAGGAAAAACTGAAACAGCTGAAAGAGAACAGGAAGAAAAGGAGTGAAATGGGGAAAAAAAAGATGCAGGGTGAGGAAAAAGGAAGGGCTTTAGCAGAAAAATTCTGAAGCTCAGATGTGGAAACGGACAATTTTCACATTCCTCTTGAGGTACAGGGCTGCCAGGGTCTCCTTCCCCTGTTCACAGCCAACTGAGCTCTCCTGCTACTGGAAAAGACAAGGTTGGCTGGGGAGCTTGGGAGTAAGGCAGTGCCCTCCATAAATATCTGCCCTAGAGGGAGACACTCACAGCTCTGGTCCATAGAAAAAAAAATCCTCCTGATTCCTGGGACAGCTCTGCCTCGGAGGGGAGGGGACAGCACAGCACAGTGGGGCTGCAAAACATGCTGCTGGCATCAAGCAGCCCTTTCAAAACCATCCCTGAGGGCTGGGGCTCTTTCCTGCTCATGGGTGAATTTTTGCTAGCTTTTTAAGCAATACAAATGTTTTACCCCATCTGAAGCCTTGGGGGTTCCTGTTTGGAAAGTCAGTCAAGTGCAGCTGGATTGTGCAATGATGCTTTTACACAGGTTTTAGGTGTTGATAATGCCATTGAATTCATGGGACAAGGACTGCCAGGCTATACAGCAGGGGACATGATATGAGTTAGAGTCAGGTGACCACATTTTGTCCATCTCAGGTGTGTTCTGTCCTTCTTTTATACTAAAAGTCAGCAGAGCAAAATGGGAAAGAAGCCTCAGCTGATATCTCGCAATTGAAACCAGGAAAATTCCTGTTACCCAGATGAACTTTGTGGAGGAAGGATAGGAAATCAGGTTTTTTGTTACATATGGGTATGTCTTAGCTTTCAGCAAAGACATAAGCAGGACAAAAAACTCCCCCAAAAATAAAAACGAGAAGAGAAAGAAAAAGGTGAGTACCCACCATCTGCTGATGGCAGCAATAAAGGACATAATTAAATGAAAATGCAGAATCCAGGGCAGAGCTGGGCATTGGCTGCAAACATGACAATAGGAAGTGTGATAGAGTGAGAGGGAGGAAAAGTGGTATAAATTACCCCATTTTGTCTTGCATCTGGGACAGGTTAAGAATATGCACAGGGGCAGCCAGAGCCCTCCAGATGACAGGAGGTAACTTTAAAACACACACCTCTGATGGCTCAGGCTCCTGGGAATGTCCCCAAGAGGTGTTGGGGCAGAAGGAAGCTGAAAAGAGCCACTGCTTAAAAGCTGAAAGCCAGTAGCAGAGTAGGCATTGATTTTCATTTCAATTATTTTCCCTTTCATTAAGGAGCTGTCAGTTTATCTTTCTCCAACTTTGATGTCGTTGCAGAACTTATTTTACCTAATGTTTGCTACCTCTGGAGTTCAAAGTATAAAGTGCTAGAGTGTGTGATATTAAAAGAAGGAAAACTATGTCTTCAAAGGTCACTGTCAAGCAATTTTACATTTAATATCTTTATCTTGCTTTATATCTTTATATATCTTACATTAGAAAACTGGAGAAAAGGAGGCTCAGGGGAGACCTTATCTCTCTCTACAGCTACTGGAAAGGAGGATGGAGCTGGGTGGGGGTCGGGCTCTGCTTCCAGGAAACAAGGGACAGGACAAGAGGAAACAGCCTCAAGCTGTGCCAGAGGAGGTTCAGGTGGGACATCAAGAAGAATTTCCTCACTGAGAGGGTGGTCAGGCATTGGAAGGGGCTGCCCAGGGAGGTGGTGGAGTCCCCATCCCTGGAGGTGTCCAGGGAAGGACTGGACATGGCACTCAGTGCTCTGGGCTGGGGGACGAGGTGGAGATGGGTCACGAGTTGGACTTGATGATCTTGGAGGGCTTTTCCAAACTTAATGATTCTCTGATTCTACACTGAAAATAAATACTACATGCAGACAAAGCTGGAAGTGAGAGTTACTTTGCAGTGTTTTCTGGCTGTGCCTCACTGGTCCCTGGCAGCACTGGAACAGGAACCAGGTTCAGAGCTGTTTCACCATTAAAAAACAAAAAAAAGTATTTTGCAGGACAGTGTTGGGCTTTCAGACCAGAAGCAGTGGTCAGATTAAACAGAGAAGTGATGAATAATTTTTTTTCCTCATGATTTGTTATTCTTTGGGATTAATCAGGTCTGGGGAAGGGAGGAGGCTGATGGGTGTCTCTTGAGACAAAGAGGTAACTTTGTTGTAGATGTGTCTGAGTCGATTAGAAAAACAAACCATGCCAAAACAAACAAACGAAACCCCCTCAACAAAACAAAACCCCAAACAAACAAAGAAAAACCCACAAAACAAAACAAACAAAAAACTCAAAGAAAAAGAAAATAAACCAACCAAAAATCCCATCCAGGAGGAGAGACCCCCTTTTTTTTTTTTTTTTTTTAATTTATTTATTTACAAGAACAAAAGGTAAGGATTAAACAAGTTTTCATTTGCAAACTCACCTTTCACTTTCCAACCAGCATGAGCTGCTCTGGGGGTACTTTTGGGGTTTCTGTACCGAACAGTGAAGTAAAAAGTGCTATTTTTATTCTCAGATGTATTCTTAACTAATGACAATTTGGCTGAAGCCCAGAACATGTATAAGCCCTGCTCTCCTTTGGATGTTATTTCTATTTTACATCCAGTGTTTTAAAATGCAACTACAGGTACTCATTCAGCATCAAAGCTTTAACAACTGGGGAGTGGTTTCTTTTTTAAACCAACAAATTTGTCCCTTTTTTAAATCTGTAAACTTGTCTGGTTTTTAACAAAAGCAGTGCAGACCAAATATATCTGTGTCTATATATCTATATTATGCCTTTATCTATATAACTATATCTATGTCTCCTTCTTAGCTATTGCAAAAGGTCATGGAGAATCAACCTAATTGCCAAAATCCCTGCTCTTCCTTTCTTATCTTTCTTTTGGAATCACCACCTCTCCCTTTCCCTGAGGACAATCAACAGCAATGCCATTTCTTTTTTTTACATTGCCTCGAATGCATAATTTAGGCTCTCTCTTTAATGTGCATTAAAGAGAGAGGGGCTTGCTTTTAACAGAACCTTTCCATCCTTTCAAAGCCACTCACGTGTCTGATAAGCATCTGTTGCCCTGTGCATCAACAATTAGAAAATTAGAGTATTTCCCAGCTCTGTGAGCAGAAAGGTGGGATGCAAACCTCCTCCAAGACAGAGCTGTCTCTGGAGCTGCTCCCCTGCCTAGCTACAGATGCACAATGACAAATAAGAAAAGAAATGATAATATGCCTGCTGATGTTGACTTAAACAAATCAAGCACATCAGTCAGTTAAAAACCCAGCTGCCATCATCCATTTCATCCTCCTTCCCCCAGATTTCATTGTAGTAGTTGGAGGCTCCCCTTCTGCTTGGCTGATTTTTTAAAATAGATGAGAAATGCTCAAGACATATTTATCTGAGTGTTTTGAAGCAACGTGGTTGGCTGGATATTTGCTCACTGCTGCTTCTCTTTGTTGTTGTTGTGGCACAACTAAAAATACCTCCTGGACATGGCTGTGACTCCTCCAGCTCTTTTCCTGGTCAGAGCAGCTCAGCCACTTGGCAGGAATGGGCCAGGTTTAGGAAGCTCTCCAAAGACTTTTTTTTTTATAATCTCTTACACTTAATAGATATTTCTCCTCATCCCTAGTAAGTCCATCAAATCTTTGTCCAGAAACATGAGATTTCTTGGTAATTAAAGAGATGTTAAGCCCTGGAAGAGTTTTCTGAGCTGCACAGTGATGAAATGAAAAGTCAGCACATTTAGCAATCCAGGAGCTGGATGAATACAGGTGACAGCAGCCAATCAGTCAATTTTCTCTTCAAACTAAATATTTAGGTAGTATGGAAGTGAAAAAATACCCAGTTTCTACAAATACTAACTTCTCCTGACCCTTCCAAGGGAAGCATGGAAGAAAAAGCACTTGGACTCATTTTTCCCCCTCAGGATTTTCAGTATTACTTCATTCCAGACAGTACAGAAAGACACAGCAAGAGATGTTTATTGAAATCCACAGATGCAAGTCCCCAAAATTGCTTGAAGCAAACAAACTCAGCTATAGGTGAGGGCTGGAAGGAGCCAGCAGGAGGGAACTATTCAGTATTAATAGTTGCTGTAGCTCTAATGGAAAATCTGCTCTCTCCATCTGGGAGAACCCTGCAAGGCCCCTGGTCAGTGTGGGTTTGCAGGTTCAGTCTGCATTTCATAGGAGAAATGTGACGTATTCCAAGTGAAAGTAAAGCTTCTCTTTCACTCTGGCTCTGCTCATTGAGGAGCACAACTCAAAACTGGGCTGAAGCATCTTGTGCTCCATATGTTCACTTGAACAGCAAGTGAAGCCTTAAAGCTTGGCTGGGGCTTATGAGGTAAAACCATTAAAAAGCAGCTTAGTCTGCTTAATGTCAGCCCTGAAACAGTCACAGAATCACAGAATATGCTGAGTTGGAAGGGACCCACAAGGACCATTGAGTCCAGCTCCTGGCCCTGCACAGGCCCATCCCCAAGAGTCACACCATGTGCCTGAGAGTATCATCCAAACCCTCCTGGAGCTCTGGCAGCCTTGGTGCTGTGCCACTGCCCTGGGGAGCCTGTTCAGTGCCCAACCACCCTCTGAGGGAAGAATCTTTTTCTAAAATCCACCCTAAACCTGCCCTGACACAGCTCCAGGCCGTTCCCTCTGGTCCCCACAGCGCAGAGCTCAGTGCCTGCCCCTCCTCCGCCCCTCCTGAGGAAGCTGGAACTGCACTGAGCTCTCCCCTCAGTATTCCTGCAGAACACTACAGAACAAGGGGAAGGTCACACAGAAGGGTGGTGATTGTACTCAGCTCTGTGATAAAGGTTACCTACACCTCCAGAAACTCCAACTCACTCCCAGATTTTACCGTTCCCCCCAGACCTACACATCTGCAGACCCCGTATCCAAACACAGGCTGTCAGGATCACACCCAAACACAAGCTCAGCTCCAGCAGCCCCCCTCCCCAGCCCCCCTGTCCCCAGGGAGGGATGGAGGTACCTTTCCCTAGGCAGCTGGTGGTTTGGGTTGTGCCGACACCGGACACTGAGGCCAAAGAGTTTGCGGGCAGTGCGCTGGATCTTCTGGCGTTGGGCTTCCAGGGAGCTCTGCAGCAGCTTGTAGCGGTTCTGCAGGTCCCAGTCGTTCCCCCAGTGCTGGTGGATGCTCCCAATGGTCAGGAAGTGGTTGCTAGGTAGCCTTTTCATGAAGGATTTAAACTCATCTGGAAGAAGGCACAAAAAAATGGGGAGAAATGCAGAGGTTTCTGAGCTGTAAGGGGGTTGCAAAGTTTTTCATTAGCAGGATGTGAGGCCATCAGTGAAAGGGATATCCAGTAATTCCCTGCTCATTAGCCTGCCCCAAGAACCTCCTAGTTCCAGGGCTGTTGCTGTTCCCATATAAGAAAAAAAACCCCATACTGAATATCAAGGTGAAAAAACACAGTTAAAGTGCACAGGGTGGAGAAAAAAAAAAGAGCAACTCCCTGGAGCTTATAGTGAGATTATAGTGTAGGGCTTATTAACAAAAAGCTGGGAGTTGTAATCATTGTCAGTTAAAGAGTTCTCATTTACATTGTTTTTCAGCTGTTTGTTGTTGAAGGTAAAGCACTTTGGCTGCGATGTTAAAAAAAAAAAGGGAAAAAAAACCCAAGCTTTCAAAATTCCCCAGAGGAAAGGTTTGGATTGTGTTAAAATGTCCTGCTTTCTTGTTTTTTATAAAGGGCATTCTGATTCTTTTTACTTATTTAACTCCATTTGAAGTTAAATGAGTTGCATTATGTAACAATGGCAATAAAATAAAATAGTTTGCAGGGCTCAGGTGAGAACAAAATGCATCAATTTTAGCCAAAGGGAAAAAACCTGATTGATTGAAAAATATATTGTTCAATGTTGGGGTTTGTTGCTGTTTTGTTTGTTGTGTTTATTGGTTTTTTTTGATCACTTTATTTCAATTTTACTTTGTTTGATAATGAAAAAAACTCCACTGTAATGCAGGGGTTTTTGAGTTGTTAGGGAAGGGAAGGGAAGATTTGGGAAGGGAAGGTTTGGGAAGGGAAGGTCGGGAAAGGGAAAGGGAGAGGGAGAGGGAGAGGGAAAGGGAGAGGGAGAGGAAAAGGAAAAGGAAAAGGAAAAGGAAAAGGAAAAGGAAAAGGAA